GGGCCGACCATGCTACGTCAAGTTCATGGCCATCCCCAACTACACGTACCACAAGCTCAAGATCCCTAGGCCATGCAGAATCACCACCATGGGTGGCGACATCCGCTAGGCACATCTCTGTGAGTGGGAAAACTGCAACATTGCGATGGCCACATGCTAGCTCCCTGAGCTTAGAGCGGTCTAGGCCACCACGATCGAGGTCGCGCCCAAGTCGAGCGCTAAGAAGCAGTCCTTGGGGATTTCTAGCCCACTGAGGACACTAAGGCGATGTAGATCGAACTAGAGGATACTAGCAAGGTGGTCCAGATCAGTTGTAGCCTCTCCAACCAATAGGAGCGTGTGCTCATCGATTTCCTAATCGGAAATTGGGACATCTTTGCATGGAGGCCCTCCGACATGCCAAGAATCCTGAGGGAAGTCACCGAACATAGCTTGGGCATCTTGCCAAGGGCCAAGCCAGTCAAGTTGCGCCTCCACTACTTGGACAACGAGAAGCGAAAGGCCATCGAGGAAGAGATCACTCGATTCCTGGCATCTGGGTTCATCAAAGAAGTGTTCGACCCCGAGTAGATTGCCAATCTTATTCTTGTGTAGAAAAAGAACAGGACATGGTGCATGTGTGTCGACTACACAAATCTAAACAAGGTGTGCCCAAAGGTGTCGTATCCCTTGCCACGCATCGATCAAGTGGTCAACTTGACCATGGGGAGTGAGACCCTATGGTTCCTAGACACATATTTAGGATACCACTAGATCGTAATGAAGGAGTCCGACCAGCTCGCGACTTCCTTCATCACTCTATTCGGCGCTTGCTGCTACACCACTATGTTGTTTGGGCTCAAGAATGCGGTTGCAACCCATCAAAGGTGTATGACCAAGTGCCTCAGTGAGCTCATCAGAGAAACCATCGAAGTCTACATCGATGGCATCATTGTAAAGACGAAGAAGGTCGATCAATTGGTTGACAACCTAAGGGCGATGTTCACCACCTCTAAGAGTTCATAATAAAGCTTAAATCCAACAAATGTGTCTTCGGGGTGCCTAAGGGGAAGCTCCTTGGGTTCATTGTCTCCAAGCATGGCATCGAGGCCAACCTAGAGAAAATCTTGGCAATTGAGAATTTGGACCCCATATAAAACCTGAAGGGCATCCAAAACCTCATGGGATGCCTAGCCTCCCTTAGCCACTTCATATCATGGCTGGGCGAGTGTGACATGCCCTTTTACAGGCTACTGAAAAAGTCCAACCACTTTGCTTGGATGAACAAGGCGCAGGAGGCCCTCGAGAGGTTCTAGGCATTCCTGGCAACGGCTCCAACCCTGGTGTCACCCGAGAGGGGCGAACCGCTCCTCCTCTACATCACCACGACCACACAGGTGGTTAGCGTGGTGCTCGTCATTGAGCGGGATGAACCAGGGTGCTCCCATAAGGTGCAGAGGCTGGTGTACTTCGTTAGCAAGGTCCTCTCCAACACTAAGGTGCGTTACCCTCTGATCCAAAAATTAATATACACAATCTTTATTGCCAAGCGCAAGTTGTTACACTATTTTGAGGGGCACCCCATTGTGGTCATGGCATCGGCTCTGCTCGATGACGTGGTCTAGAATCGTGATGCATCTGGCCGCGTCTCGAAATGGGCAATAGAGCTCATGGGATGCCACATAACATATGCCCCTAGGACGACGATCAAGTCGTAGGTCCTTGTGGATGTTGTTGTCGAGTGGACTGAGGATTAGACACCTCAGCCTCTGACCAACCAGTAGTACTAGATGATATACTTGGATGGTTTGCTCATGGCCACGGGCGTTGGTACTAGGGTCGTTCTCATCTCCAGAAGGGACACCGCCTGGAGTACGTTGTTCGACTTCACTTCTAGGCCACCAACAATGTAGCAGAATACGAGATCCTCATCCATGGCCTTAGGATCACTTCAGAGCTCAGTGCGCTCTGCCTCTATGTTAGGGGAGACTCAGAACTAGTCATCAGCGATGTCATGAAGGAGGCATCATGCCACAATGACAAGATGGTCGCATACTATGATGAGGTATGGATGCTTGAAGAAAGGTCTAATGGGCTCGAGCTCCACCATATTCTTAGGCGCAACAACCTCGCTGCCGATTTCTTGGCCAAGCTCGCCTCCAATGGAGAGCCCGTGTCGCCCGGAGTGTTTGTCAATGACGTGCGCAAGCTGTTAGTGTGGACAACACAACAATCTGACCTAAGCGCCGGAAGCAATGACCCATGACCAGTCTGGTTTGACCTATATGGGTCATGAACCGGAGGCTGTGAACCCCCTCAACCAAGTGATGGTCGACTGAGAGGTCGCGACCACCAGCCAAGACTGGACTGCACCTTTCATCGACTACTTGGCACGAGGGAACTTGCCTCGTGACGCGACAGAGGCATGGTGCCTAGCTAGGCGCTGCAAGTCATTCGTCATCATCGGCGATGACCTCTACAAACGCAGCACGTCAGGAATTGTCCAAAGATGCATCCTGTGCGAGAAAGGGCAATAGCTCCTCTAAGAGATCCACGCTGGCATCTATGGCCACCATGTGGCATCGAGATCACTGGTTAGGAAATCTTTCAGGCAGAGCTTCTACTAGCCCACGGCAGTCGTGGACGCCCAACAGATCATGCACACCTGTGAAGGGTGTTAGTTCTATGCGTGACAGACACACTTGCCCACACAGGAACTGCAGACCATTCCCGTAGCCTAGCCCTTTGTGACCTAGGGCCTCGACCTACTTGGGCCTTTCAGGAATGTGCTCGGGGCCTACACCACCTCCTCATCACTGTGGACAAGTTCACCTAATGGATAGAGGCAAAACCAATTCCAAAAGTTAGGTCCGAGGATGCGGTGGAATTTTTCTTGACTTCATGTACCGATTTGGAGTCTCAAACTCTATAATAACCGATAATGGTATGTTCTTCAATGGGAAGAAATTCCTGTGATTTTGTGACAACTATGACATCCGGGTCGATCGGCCCTCTATGGCTCACCTGCGAACCAATGGCCAGGTAGAGCGTACCAATGCCTTGATCCTTTAGAGCCTCAAAAGATGCATCTTCGACAGACTCAACAAGTTAATAGGGCGTTGGGCCAAGGAGGTTCCTGCCGTGCTATGGAGCCTAAGGACGAACCCAACCATTCCACGGGCTTCACCCTGTTCTTCATGGTATACGGCGCGAAAGACGTACTCCCAACTGACCTCGACTATGGCGTGCCATGGGTCAAAGCATATGACGAGACAAGGACTTCCAGGACACACTCGACTAGCTCAACGAGGCGCGTGATGTGGCACTCCTACGATCTGACAAATACCAACAAGCCCTACGGCGCTACCACAACAGGAACGTTCGAGGTCGCACATTCTGGGTCGGTGACTTGGTACTGTGTCGAGTCCAAGCCACCAAGGACGCGCACAAGCTAATGCCACCTAGGGAGGGACCCTTCACCATCGCCAAGGTCATACGCCTGGGGGCTTACCGCCTCAGGGACCGCGACAGCAGAATCTACACCAACTCCTGGAACATCGAACAACTACGTCGATTCTACCCCTAATTCCTTTACATGCATATGTTTGAATCTGTATATAAGTCCATGCAAGAATCATTGAATTTCATTTTCAATCGTCAAATGTGGCTTAAAATTCAAACTTTATATATGCCCACCATGATGACGCTACCCGAGCGACCCATATCGACCAGCACGAGCAGTCGCCACCGCTCACTCTCGAGGGCTACTCACATGGGCACATACGGCCAAACTAAAGACTTGTTTTTTTTGTTTTTTCTTGCCTTCCTGCTACATCACAAGGAGCCAGTGACCCATCCCCCGACCTCTTGCTCGCGCCATCGGGTCGCGCAAGACTAAGCCCCGTGGGCCGGTCCCCAGGCGAAGTCACGTGCCCACACACAAGTCTAAGGAGACGGAATGCTACTTCGGTTCGAGCACAAGCAACGGGGAAAACCAACTTTCTAAAAATTCTTTTCTGTCTTGTTTTCTCTTGGCATCACGAAGAGTCAGCAGCCCGAGTCCCGACCACTTGCTAGCGCCATTGGGTCGTGCACGACTAAGCCCCGTGGGCTGGTCCCTAGGCAAAGTTTCCGCACCCATGCACAAGATCAAAGGGAAGCGGAATGCTACTCTAGTTCGAGCGTTAGGGGCGGGAAGAAACAAGATTTACTTCGAAAGCATAAACATTATTTGTTCATCATAAGCGAAACTTGGTCATTGCAAATCATTCAACACAAACTGAAACTAACTATTCATACTCTATGGGGACGTGGCGACTGACACGGACGCCGGCAGCTAGGACCTGGTTAGCCAAACGCTGTGCGCTCGGGGAGACGGCGTTCGCGATCGCGTTGATCTTGACATCAGTCCGCTTCGACGAGTACCCCTGCCCCACAGCTAGGAACTCGATGCCGTCATAGTGGGCACTGACCGACATCAAGGCAGCGAGTGCTCAAAGGTAGACTTCCTTGGATATCAGGGGTCCACCTCGAGCCAAGCCTCGTCGAGCTGGACAGCCATCCGATCGCTCCCTCGGCCATCACCGAGCACATGCGCGCAAAGCGCCTGCGCAGAGGCGGTCAAGGTCTATAGCTCATCGGCCGTCTCCTGTGCCTTTTGGCCCGACACCACCTTCTCGTCATAATACGGGATGGCCTTTGTGCGTAGCTTTGAGGAACCATATGACGCAAATCGGCAAGAGCAGAAACCAGAGGAAAACAAGACCCAAGCAAAAGCAGCTTACCTTCGTAGGCGGCGCAGAGCTCCCGACACTCGGCCTCTGTTACCGGATACTGGAATTAGGTAGCTATGGTGAGGATTGGATAGAGTTTCGTCGAGCACGCCGGTGATCGCCGCGCCTCACCACCGTAGCCAAATGGCCCGGTTCAACAATACGATAGCCAATTCCTATCCTGCTTCTCAGGGAGCTTCCCCATTTACAAGACAGCATCTGTCTCGCCCGTTACATGGGCCGATTTGTCTACACCCAATTGGGCCCTATGAAGCGCGTGTTGGACTTTCTACTCCTTTTCTCCTTTTCCAGAAGATTTCCGCCAACCTGAGGTACAGCTTCAACTTTAGAGCGGTCTGGGACAGCTTCAGAGTGATCTCCAGCTTCAGGGTGTACGGTGTGCTCGTGGGAACTCTTGGCGAATTGGAGCTTCATCTTCCCAAGTAGAAAACTGGTGGGAAAAGTTGGACCATTGTACCAACACTTGGGGAATAATTCGGTCACGAAATTGGTGCAGACGCCTGTCAAGGATACGGAGTGGAACCTGAAACTGGAAAGTTGTGTCAGGTAATTCAGGGTTCACCTTATACTTCGGTGATACTGCCTGCTTGAGCTGTGAGACATGGAAAACATCATGTATGGAGCTGGTGGGTGGTAAAGCAAGCTTGTAAGCTGTAGGACCAATCCTTTCAACAATAGTAAATGGTCCGAAGTATCTGAAGGAGAGTTTGTTCGAAGATCGAGAACTGAGTGAAGTCTGAATATAAGGCTGAATCTTTAGATACATAGAGTCTCCTACAGAAAACTGATGAAATGACCTCTTTCTGTCAGCTTGATGTTTCATCTTAGTCTGAGCACTAAGCTAGTGTTGATGTACTAGCTATTGCATTAGCTCTTTCTCTTGCAGCCATGTTTCTAAGTCCAGGTTCTGATAGGTATCTCTGTCTTCAATTCCCATGTGGTTAGGGTCGTGGCCATAGAGTACCTTAAATGGCGTGGTACCCAGTGAGGAGTGGTAAGAAGAATTGTACCAAAACTCAGCAAAAGCTAGCCAAAAGGACCACTTAGTTGGACAAGCGTGGACAAAACACCTCAAGTATGTTTCTAAGCACTGGTTGACTCTTTCAGTGACCATCGGTTTGAGGGTGATAGGCACTGCTCATCAGAAGGTCCACCTTCAACAGTTTGAATAATTCTTTCCAAACATTGCTAGTAAATATCTTGTCTCTATCAGATATCATTGCTTTTGGTAATCCATGAAGCTTATAGACATGTTGCAGGTAGACTATAGCCACTTGAAAAGCCGTAAAGGGATGAGATAGAGGTATGAAGTGGGCATACTTGGAAAACTTATCCACTACTACCAAAATGCAATTATAAGATGCTGACTTTGGCAGTCCCTCAATAAAGGCCATTGATACTGTTTGCCAAGCTCCTTCAGGTATTAGGAGAGGCGCCATAAGACCAGGATAAGCCACTCTTTCGGCCTTAGCCTGCTGACAGATGGTGCACTAAGAGACAAAGTTCTGAACAGAGTTCTTGAGATTATGCCAAGCAAATAGCTTCTTGATTCTAATATAAGTTTGCTTCAATTCCAGAGTGACCTCCAACTGGGATTGAATGGAAAGCATGCAAGATTTTGTTCTGTAGGGATGTGGCATTACCAATCCAGATCCTAGACTTGTAATAAATCAACCCATCCTTGAGATTGTACTGCCCAGTGGTGATTGAATAGCTAATTCTTGCAGAAGGTGAGAAGATTTAGGATCTGAAACATATGCAGCTTGAATTTCCTGCAGCCAATTAGGATGAGCTACAGACATTGCAGCGAGTTCATGTATCTCTGCATGTGTAGTCCTTGAGAGTGCATCTGCAACTCTATTATCCTTACCCTGCTTGTACTGGATTTTAAAACTGAGGCCTAACTTGGTAAGTGCCTTATGGTGCCAGGGAGTGGACAGCCTTTGATCATCTAGATGTACCAGGCTTTTTTTGATCTATTTTGATAACAAACTCACCATGCTGTAAATAGGACCTCCAATGGTCAACAGCTAACAATATGGCCATACACTCCTTTTCATATGTGGAGAGTCCTTGTGCCTTGGGTCCCAATGCTTTACTCACATAGGCAATTGGATGGCCATCTTGCTGGAGTACTGCCCCTATAGCTTTATCAGAAGCATCGGTTTCCAGAACAAATTGTTTGTTGAAATCCGGCATGGCTAGAACAGGAGCAGTAATAAGAGCTTGCTGCAAAGCTTGAAAAGAACCTGCTTCAACAGTGGTCCAAATATACTGCTGACCTTTCTTCAAAAGATTAGTTAGGGGCTTAGACACTAGGCCAAAATTTCTCACAAATTTCCTATAGTAACCTGCCATCCCTAAGAAACTCCTCAACTCTTTGACAGATTGTGGAGGGGGCCATTTAGCTATGATTTGCACCTTAGATGGATCTGTTGCAACTCCTTCAGGACTGATGACATAACCCAAGTAGTGGAGTTGTTGCTTGGCAAAAGAGCACTTGGATAATTTGATGAAGAATTGATGCTCCTGTAGCACAGCAAACACCGGAGCCAAATGATCTAGGTGCTCTGCCCAAGATTTGTTATATATCAGTACATCATCTATGAACACCACAACAAATTTCCTTAAGAAGGGTGCCAATAGCTCATTCATTATAGCTTGAAAAGTTGCTGGACCTCCAGTTACCCCATAAGGCATGACCTTGTATTCAAAGTGACAATTATGTGTTTAGAAAGCTGTCTTGTATTCCTCTCCCTCTGCCATCCTTATCTGGTGGAAGCCAGAACACATGTCCAATGAAGTAAACCACTGAGCACCACTGAGCTCATCAAGTAACTCGTCAATCACTGGAAGAGGATATTTGTTCTTCATTGTCAATGCATTCAGCTTCCTATAGTCGACACATAAACGCTAATCTCCAGTTTTCTTACGCACCAGCAGTGCAGGAGAAGCAAAGGGGCTTGAGCTGGGTTGTGTCAAGTCTTTCTGCAGCAGCTCCTTGATCTGCCTCCCTATCTCGTCCTTCTGGAAGGGGTTGTACCTATATGGCCTCAGCCAGAATGGTTGGGCTCCCAAAACCAGAGGTATTGTATGGTCACTAGCTCTTTGGGGTGGAAGGCCAGGTATGGACTGAAAAATTGACTGATACTGCTGAACCAGAGACTGAATCTCAGCAGGAATTGGCTCTGGAGGGGGTTTGCCTTCAGACATAGAATTCAGCTGAACCATATACAAGATGGATTCCCTCTTGTGCATTGCTTGCAGTTGAGAGGCAGATATTGGGGGCCCCATTGTTGCTGATGGTTGTATCCCTTTGAGCTTGATAGGTTTGCTGAGATGGTCAAACTGCAACCATTTTTCACCCCAATGAATGTGCATAGGGCTATGTTCAGACAACCAGTCCATCCCTAATATAACATCATACCCAATGAGAGGAATAACCTTGAAGTCTGACTTGAAGGTATGCCCTTGAAAACTCCAAATGCAGTCTATCAGTTCATGTGAGCAGTTAAACTTCTCCCCATTAGCCACTTGGACTAAGGAAGGCTTGTCTAGAGGTTTCTTATCAGCAAGGACATGAGCTAACTGATCTGTGAGAGCTACCCGAATCTACCAGCATGAAAACCTCTTGCTCAGCTATAAAGCCTCTGAACCTGATAGTTCTAGCTCCTTCAACACCTCTCATTGCTTGCAAGGATATGGCCATAAGCTCATCATCAGATTCCTCCTCTTCTTCATCTTGCTTAAGAGATGGATGGGAATCTTCATTGAGTACCTGCCAAACTTCTTCCAAGGCATGGAGTGAGACAGTTGCTGCACATTTATGAGAGGGGCTCCACTTCTCTCCACATTTAAAACACAGACCCCTTGCTTTTCTGTAGGACTTAAGAGATGACAACCTATCATCGACAGTTTTGTTCCTTCCAGGATCATACACCCTCTTATCTTTAGTAACTTGAGTTGAAGATTTGGTAGGAAGTAAACTGCTAGTCTTCACATTATCAGTAGAGTACCTTCTGGAGATAGCTGAATAATCATGCTTTCTTGTTTCTCTCCCAACAGTATCCTGCAAGGCCTCCTCCTGCAAAAGGGCCAGAGAACCAGCAGTATCCAAATTTTGCGGTCGATGCACCATTATAACAGAACGAATTTCCTTTTTTAAACCATCAATAAAACGGTTGGTGATCACAGAAGAGGCTATAGTGGGATCATGAACTAAGAGTTGGTGGACAATTTCGCTAAAGGACTCTATGTAATCAGAAACTGATGTGCTCTGCTTTATGTGGAAGAATTGTCTTAAGCAGATGATCATGTTCGTCTCTATCAAACTTGAGACAAGCTGAGGAAGTGAACTCAGCCCAAGTCATTGACTCAGAACTGACACGCAGCGTGTGCAGTCAAAGAGCAGCGGAACCGGAGCAGTGCATGTTAGCTATCTTAACCCAAAGCGAAGGATCAACACAGTAAACTGTGAAATAGGTTTCAGCATTTTTAACCCATAATTTGGGGTTAGTTCCATCAAATTGTGGGAAAGGGAAATTTGGCAGAGCACTTTGTGGGCAACCAGGCAGAGTATGGTATGGGAAGTTCGACATGACATGAATCATAGGCCTCTGATCACAAGACTGATAACCATCAAACTGTAGAGCATGAGTAAGAGATTTGAGTGTTTTCTTCGCACCTGAGACCAGGTTTTGGTCCGGGGCGGCGGTGTACACCGCCCCGAAACCAGACTTGCTGTGGTCTAACGACCTAGACACCGCCCCGGATGGGGAAGACTCCAGATGAGCGGAGCCCGGCATCTTCGGTGTCGGAGGCGACTAGTGATCCTCCGAGACCGCAGCAGGTGGTGGTTGCGCGATGGTGACGACGCCCGGTACAGGTTCAGCTTGAGGAAGATTGCTCAACGTCTTCTCCATCCGTTCACCGAGCGCAAGCACCGCATGCTCCAGCTCATCGACGTGGCTATCCATCTGGGGCTTCCAAACGTTGAACTCGGACCTCAAGGCCCTCATCTCCGACATGGAGGTCTTCAACTCAGTGATCCTCTTCGAGTTCTCACCTAGCAGAGCGAGGATCTGACCGAATTGCTCTTCGGGAGTTGCCATCGACAATTGTCGCCTCGTCAGGTACGAGTGGGGAGCCAGAATCGATTTGTTCTGATACCAATTGTTACCGGATACTGGAATTAGGTAGCTATGGTGAGGATTAGATAGAGTTCTGTTGGCCACGCCGGCAATCGCCACGCCTCGCCACCGTAGCCAAACGGCCCGGTTCAACAATACGGTAGCCAATTCCTATCCTGCTTATCAGGGAGCTTCCTCTTTTACAAGACAACATCTGTCTCGCCTGTTACATGGGCCGATTTGTCTACACCCAATTGGGCCCTATGAAGCACGTGTTGGGCTTTCTACTCCTTTTCTCCTTTTGCAGAAGATTGCCGCCAATCTGAGGTACAGCTTCAACTTCAGAGCGGTCTGGGATAGCTTCAGAGTGATTTCCATCTTCAGAGTGATCTCCAGCTTCAGGGTAGACGGTGACAGCCTTGAGGCCCTAGCGGCACTACTCAGCCTCGTTCCGAGCAGCGACGGCCACAGTGCGCTCCTTGTCCAGGGCAGCCATGGCCGCCTTAAGCTCGGACGCCTAGGATGTTAGCGCATCGAGCTGCCCCTGGGCCAGCGCCTCACGCTCTAAGGACTATTTCTGCATCGACTCGACCGTCAAGGAAGCACGGAGAAAATCCATGTGCAGCTCTTTCTTGGCCTTCTAGGAGGCCCCCAGCTCCTCACGCAACCGCTGCACCTCCGCCTCCGCTTCCTCCAGGCGCCGGGGATCTAAGGTTCTGCCCGCCTGCGCCTGATAGGCCATGTGTAGGAACCTTGACTTGTTCATCGAGGTCTCCATCAGGACCTGAGACGAGAAGGTCGCGCTCAGACAACTCCCTTTGCATCACTGACAGCATAGTAGAATCAAAGACCAAAACACTTACCCGCCCACACAGAATCACGTTGCCTGTCATCGTGATCAACGCGCCTGAGACCAGCTTCGTAGTCGAGGCAAGTGTGCCGCGGACCTTAGATAGATCTGCCCGGAAGCCCTCATGATGCCCCGAGGCGTCGGCCCACATAGCTCGCTCGGCCGCGTCATCCAAACGAAATAGGGCCTTGCGGCGATCCTGGTTATACGACCAGACGAAGGGCTCTTCTCTGCCCGGCGCAAGCTGCCGTCTGGACAGGACGAGCGCTGACGACTCCAAACCCCTGGGGGCCATGACCTCGAGCATGAGGTCGACGCCGAACGCCGAGGCCTCATCCTCTCCCGCCGCCACAGTAGCCGCCACAAGCGCACCCACATCAGGGGCTTCCCCCTCGACCATGTTTGCAGCCACCTAGTTGCGAGCACAGTCCTCACCCACACGAGAGCTCTCCATGAGGGAAGACAATAGGCTCGTGAGAGGCAACGCCTGAGCCACTATCACCACGGCCGTGCCACCTCCCCCGGTCGGCTCCAACCATAGTGGCAGGTTCACAAAGCCCACCAAGGGCCGCTGGACGGTGACCCTAGGGAGGAACACCCTAAGTCAAAGTACGCTGGAGAAAATGACCAACACCACCAACTGCAACAACCAACCCAACGGGTGGGGAGGGGGGGTGGGTGCAGCACGCCGCGCCATGTGTGGCCTTAGGATCGGAACCATGGTCGGCACCTCCTCAGCCGATGGCCCGGCTGCTGCTTGCGTCAGCGCAGGTGTCCCTCCCCCTGCGATGGCACCAGTCTCCCCGGCCTCGGACGTCACTAGGTGCTAAACCTAAGCCATGGATCCCTGATCCACAGGCTCCGTGCCCACGGCATGACCCTCGACTTCTGCGTCAGGGGCCACGATTTTGGTGACCATGCCATGCCCTGAGCTCTACCACGACCTAAGCCTCGGAGCCGGAGGCGGGGTCAACGAGTTCCCTCTTGTCGTTGGGCCTGTGGGCGAGAGCCGCACCACGGATGCTGGAGGAACCAGGTGGAGGCGGCAAAAGCACAGTCAAGCCCCCCATAGCATGTCTAGTGGGGGCTATGGTCAAGGTGCTCTGCTCATCATCACCACCAACACATGGGTGCTTTAGGCACGTTCCCCTAGGCGGCGGGGTCGCCAGCCGTTTTCCAAACGAACGGTCCCCCTCGCCATCTCCGGCGCCGTCACTGATGCCACTCATCCCAGCCTCGACGCCGGTCCACTAGGACACGCCAGGGAAGCTTTGGAGGATCTGCACCAGGTCGTCCTCATCCTCGTCATCCTTGTCCTCGTCCTCATCCCCGTGCTTCTTCTGCGGCTGAACGCGCCGCTCGACCAAGGTCCAGAGGACCTTAGACCCCGTGGAACCCCGGCGACACTCGACCATGGAGAGCCTTTAGGACATGGTCCACCTTGTGCTGTTGGTTCTTCGAGCATCCCCAACTCTAGGACTCCTGGCGAACTGGTAGGCCACCGGTGAAATGAGGGAGCGGGGCGCCGATGTCATCACGGATGTAGAACCAGTTGGCGTGCTAGCCCTAGTTTGAATCCTTGAGCAGTAAACACGGGTACCAGTCAGAGAACCCATTACAAATCTAGATGTTCAGCCTACCTAGAGGGGCGAGAGTGCCAGTGTCCTTGTTCACTTTCCAGCTATGGACCTAAAAAACCCACCGAAATAGATCCTTGGGAGGCTCGATCCCAAGGTACCCCTCGCACACCACCTTGAAGCCAGCCAGCTGCAGCAGCGCGTTGGGCAACAGAGTTGGACCTAATGCTCGTGGAGGAACTCGCGGAGGAAGTCAGAGGCTGGTATTCCGAACCCGCACTCATGGTAATCCAGGAAGGACACCATCTCCCTAGTACGCTGATGCGGGAACTGCTCTCCGAAGGAGGCCCTCCACCCAGCCACGTCCTTGGGTGGAAGGATGCCCTTCTCCACGAGATCCAACAGCTTCATCTTTGTCATGGCCGATGACACGCACGAACTCATCTTGCAGATCAAAGCGGTGGAGCGATGGCTGTGGAGCAAGAGGTAAGGAAGGATGTGGTGGGGGGGGGTTATGACCCCGGATACCCACGGCAAACCACATGGACTGCTCCCCCAGGGGCGGCCCAGCCCACAAGACAAAGCCTTGCGGGGCACGATTCTACTCGGCGCCTCCCGCAAGACATAGGGAAGATATCCTGAAGATACTACGAGATCTGTTAGGATACGTATGATCCCATGATTCTTGTAATCTATTATTACTTTCCAGTTATCTCTCAGATCTAACCGACTTGTAGCCCTGCCCCCTGGGCTATATAAGGCGGGTAGGGACCCCCTCCAAAATCACGGCATATCATATGATAGCTAATACAATCCAACAGACCACAGGAGTAGGGTACTACGTTATACTGACGGCCTGAACCTGTATAACTCGTGTGTCTCTGTTGCCTTCTTGTTCCTGATCATGCGCTTCTCTGTCGATCAATCTACCTTCGTGGGATACCCCTCGAAGGACTACCGACGATATTCTATCGACCGTTGGCGCGCCAAGTAGGGGTGTGCATGCTGTTTCCTTGTCGAACAAGATGGCTTCTTCCACAGGCTCTTCATCTCTTCCGCAGCCCGACCAGATCTTCATGGTCGGATCTATCTCGTGGGTCATCAACGCTGACGAAGTCGGAGAGCTCCTCGAGCCAGTGCAGATCCGTTCTGTGCTGACCACCCCCGCACCTACAACTGCAGATCTAATCTTAGATCTACTTCCAAGGTCGCCTTCATCAATGACTCGCCGCCCGCTTCCTTGCTACCAGAGGATGCACCTCAACAATGACGATCTGATCGAATCCATCGATCGGGTCGGTCTGAGGCTCGCCGATTTGCCTCTCCATCGCCGAGTCGGCTCTGGACACTCTCGTTCAGCGCCGACCATCCTTTGATTTGGATCTATCGGAGGCTGCTTGGCAAACTCCAGGGGTTATGGCCCTACCCTTCGGGTTCACCAACACCACCGCTACCTACCAAGATGCCCTAAGGGGCAAATTCACCGACCAGGTGGGGGATATCCATCCTCTCGCTGACCAGCTCCCGCCGATGGTCAACATGATGCAAGCCAGCCGACACCCCGGAGCATGCCTCTAGACCATCCTGGAGGAAAATCCGGACTCCGAATCCCAGGGCTCTACAGAGACCCTCGCCGAAACCTTCACCGAGCAACCCCCTCTCCCGCCTTTCTGGGGTGGCGCGATCTTCAACGTCAGCATTGACAGCCCCCCTCGGAATGGCGAAACCGATGAGGAACATGCTGGTCGTGAAAACAGGAACGTCAACCACGCGCAGCGCCGTGAAAATGAGCATGCCCTTGTGATGGCCGAGGCTGCTCGCAACAACCAGTTCGACTCGCAAGGAAGGCTGCTCCATCGTAACCTCGACGAAGAGTTTCTCCGCATTGACGGCCACGATGTCTTCAAGACTCCAAGCGCCAATCTGGTGGTGGCCGCCAACGAGCTTGCCCGCCTCCCTCAGATGCCCGAGCTCGCCAAGGTCGCCGCTATGCTTAAAGCAGCACACTGTCAAGTCAATGAGATCTAAGAGGATCAGAGACCTTCGTGCTCCACGAGCATGATTCACCAATCAGCTATGCCTAGATCCAATTGCCGCCCCAGTCAAAGCTGGTTCGTCGACCAGTCACTACCTCTCCAGGAGGAGCTGGGGGCCACCACGCCAAGCACCATCGTCAGCACGACTAGGAGGTCGAACAGGACGCTCGAGTGCACCTCAGTAACCTCTGGGATGCATGATGGCGTATCGAGCAACGTCGCTTCGGTCGCCATGAAGAAGAAGTACGCCACCGTCAGGAGTACGAGCAGGAGTACGGTAACCCAGATTCAGCTCTGGAGCCGATCACCGCCGGCAACGCTACAGACAACGGCGCCGACAATCCGGAAGGTCCTCCGGCATTCACCAGGGCGCTCCGAACACTCCAATGGCCTCGTGGTTTTAAAATCATTGGCGTTGATCCCTATGAAGGAAGGATGAACCCAACTCAGTGGCTGCAAGCTTATGCCACTGCTGTTCGCACCGCCAGAGGCGACACCAACGTCATGGCGAATTATCTC